GGGCACAGGGACCCTGGTCCACTGTAGAGCACCACACCTGCCCCACACCTAGCTCTCAGGGGCATGAGGACCCTGGTCCACTGTAGAGCACCACAGCTGCCCCACACCTAGCTCTCAGGGGCATGGGGACCCTGGTCCACCTGTAGAGCACCTCACCTGCCCCACACCTAGCTCTCGGGGGCACAGGGATGCTGGTCCACTGTGAGGACAGATCCCGCTGATTCCCGAGCTCCTGGTGACCAGCACCGGACCAAAGGCAGGTACTGTTTTTGGTACCGGGGTCTGAACCCAGGTGCATTACCACCGAGCCACATCCTCAGCCTTTTATTTCTGACTTTGAGACAGGGTCTCACTGAGTTGCTGAGGCTGGCCTTGACCTTGATCCTCCTGCCCCAGCCTGGCCTGGCACCTGGGCTGGGACCACTGACTTCAGAGAAGGCAGAGCAAAGGGTACCCTCTTGCCCAGGGGCTGAGCGCCCCCCAACATCTGCTTCCCAAGGGAGGAGCACATCGTCCTGTCCAGGGGACCCCCATGGTCATCCAGCACGGGGTCCACTGTTCCGACAGGCAACAGTGACGATGTCCACAGTCTGCCTGAGGCCCTGGAGATGCCCATTGCCCTTGGCCGGGGGCTGGTGCCTGCCCTGACTTTTCGACAACTGTCCTCCAAGGGGATCCTGTGCAGAGGACAGTGGCCCTCGGGTAGTGACCACTGCCCTGACCTGCCAGACCTCAGTGGAGACCCCAACCCCCCGGACCCCTTCCCTGACAAAGCTCTCTCCCCTCCAGAGTCGACAGGGGTCTTGACCACAGGGTCATCCTTCCCCACCTACTGGGGTGGAACGAGAGGGGACCCCACCCAGAGCAGGCCTCCTTGAGAACGCACCTGGGGATGCTGGTGAGGTAGGTCATGACACTCTGGAACTCCTTGTCCGGGATCTCGCTGAAGGCCGGGTAGTCGGGGAAGGTGATGACTGGGCTTCCGTCCTGTCCCCGCCCACCTGGGGAGAGGCCAGAGGCAGGCACTCAGCAGGGCCTGGGCTGCCCAGCCCTCCCCACCAGCCCCCAGCCCCTGCAGAGTGCCCAGTCTCAAGTACCCTCTTGGGTGAGCGGCCGGCTGCTCTTCTCAGTGTCAAAGACATGCAGATGGCACGGGGGACCAAAGGCAGATCGCCCAGGGGACCAAAGGCAGAAGGCACAGAAAAGCAGATGCACTAAAGCAGATGAGCACTAGCTTCTGCTGGGGTGACCACTGGAACATCCCCGCCACGTCCTCTGGCCTGTCCTGCCAGTTGTCTCACTTGAGTGGACGTGTTTGTACCAGCTCTGCAGGCCCAGCAGTCACATGACACACACCAGGTGTGTCCCAGGGACTTTCTGACTGTTGGGCTGTGGCATCTGTAGCTTCTCTCCTGTTAGAGTTTCGGCAATTCAGTGTGGGAGGCTCTACCGCAGGTGAACGTCGTGTCCACCTGTGGCTGCGCCATGGAGGCGGGGTCCCACCACTGGGGCCAGTCCTTGGGGGTCGAGCTTGGCCCACAGGACAGGCAGAAGTGATGCTGTGTGACCCCAAGCCAGCGCCACCCTCTCTCTCAGGACTCCAGGAAGTCAGGCAGCAGCCTGGGCCACACGCTGTGAGGAGGCACCCCGGGAGGAGGGCTGCGAGCAAGGACAGGGAAGAGCCCGTGTGAGCCAGGCCCAGGCAGTGGGCGAAGCCCAGTGAGTGCCCTGGCCAGCACAGCTCGGCCCATCCTGATGGCCAAGGACGTTACAGTGGTCGCCCACCAGCAGGCGGKCGTGGGGCTGCTCAGGCTGGGTGGGGAGAGCTGCTGCTCCCGTGAGAACCAGGCATGCCGCCACCACCCTGTCCCCACCTGGAGACACAGGGACCGGTCCATGTGGCACTCCAGGGCATGTGCGGCAGGGAAAGATGGACAGTGGTGTCTATCCCCATMCTCATCCCTGCCAACCTGCCCCCACACCCTCACGGACGCCACCGTGCAGGGCCTGGAGGCCTCCTTTCCTGGCCCCTGGGCCTCTCATCCCCACAGGTCTCTGCGGCCACGTGTCAGTGCCCTGCAGTGTCCTCAGCACAGCAGCCTTGCCCCTCAGCAGGACATGGTCCCTCTACCACTTCGGCCCAGGCCTCCCTGCCTTGACCTTGAACGCCCTGGTGTGGGGCCCGGGTGCTGCCCTGTCACCGCCGAGAGGGCTGAACCCAGCGTCCCACCAATGGGAGCAAGATCTCCCCCAGCTCAGCCCTGCAGCTTGAACCTGGAGGGGACAAGCCGCCAGCCCCCTGCCCTCGACACTCAGCACACCCAAGGCACTCAGCTCCCGGCCCTGTCCCCAGGCACAGGACACCCACGGCCTGGCAGAGCGGCCCAGCCCTCTCCCGACACCTCTCAGGTTCTCGCTCCCTCTCACAACACCTCTAGGTTCTCGCTCCCTCTCACCGCGGGGCGAGTGCCTGCATCGCTGAGACCCTGGTTGAGGCACTGCCACCTCCTCAGGGCCAGCTCCTGCAGAGGAGGGTGACCACACAGCACACGACCATCAGGCCGTGGCGGCGGCTTCCCCGTTAGGAAGGAGTGCTCTGGACCACGGTGAGCCCCGGGTCCCAGGGCGTCTGGCCCACACCTGCCCTTTGCTGTCCTACAAGTGGGGCTGGGTGGGAAGCTGCAGGAATGGACAGGCCTCCCTGTCTGTGGGAGAGCCGGGGACAGTGGGAGGGGACTCTGGCCTCCACCGGCTCGGAATCCCACACTGCACTGAGGCCCGCCCCGCACAGCTGGACCAGGGGTGGCAGGGCCCTGGCCGACCTTTGAGGGAGCAGACTTCTGTCTGGTGGGCAGCTCCTGCAGGGCTGGTGTCCGAGTGCTGGGTGGTGACGAATCTCAAGTCCCTCTGTCTGTCTCCTGTGCTGGCCTTCACCTGGGTGCCGGTGAGGGTGGGCCACCTGAAGTGGTAAAGGCCCCATGCCACTGGCTGGGCCAAGGCCCCGTGGGGGAGCAGCAGCTCCRTCCTGCTGGGAGTCTCCAGGGCTGTGCTCCCCCACAGGCCACTGGGAACGGCAGGCCAGGTGGGGACTTCCCAGGCTGGCCTCCTCTTCCTCTGTGAAAGACCGCACTTGGCGGTCTTAGTTTCCTCACTCCGGGTTGCAGGCCAGATCAGCTGCCCGACAGAGCGAGCCCCATCTTGACGGGCCGGGGTCTCTTGGAAACGACGTGGCTTTGGACCAGTCTCAGCTTTGAGGGGAAGTGAAGCCCCTGCTCTTACTGAGGAGAGTGGAAGCTGGAGTCTTTCTAGGTCTTTCCACGTGATTCAGAAAGCCAGCCCCAGAGCTCAGGGACCTCCAGGGTGAGTGGCAGGTAGACACCGGGCTCCAGCTGGGAGTCAGGGGCTGGCCACCAGTTCTGAGACACAGTCCACAGGAGAGCTGGGACCCTGGGCAGGCAGCCCCGAGGGGCACAGAGGTCCCTCCTGTGTGGCTGAAGCCAGAGCTGCCCACCGGTGTCAGGGCCCCAGTCTGCAGCCACCCTCCAGTCGGGGCTCGGCACACCTACACATCAACCCTGGTGCCCTGTCCCGAGCCCACACCCACTTTCTGGTGGCAGAGGTGGCTGAAACCCACCTCCCCTGACAGCAGGGAACAGGCTCCCCGGCAGAGGCACGTCCTCGGTTCAACTCTAGGGTGCTTTCTGATTCCATTCCTGGCTGGCCTCTCCCGCGGCGATAGCTCTGGCCTCTGGAAGGGCCCACCTGTGAGAGGTGCAGACGCAGCGACAGCCCTGCCGGAGGGAAAGCTGTTCTCCCAGGTGGGCCGCCCACCCGTCCCTGCGCCAGGAGGGAGGCTGGTGTTAGGTGCCTGGGTCCAGCACAAGCCTGGCCACCGGCAGCAGAGCCTTGGGCAGGTGGCCCTGTCCATGGGCACACCCGTCGTTCATGCACTCAGGCCACGTGGGTGAGATGTCTGTGCCTTCCAGGCTCTCGGGGCTGACCTCAGGCCGATGATACCAGGCGGGCCTCTGGGAGGCTGTGGTGACGAGGACGGGCCTGCGGGGAAGCTGCACAGTCTCTCCCCTACAGGCTGCTCTGGCTCACTGTCCATCCCACCAGGACACAGTGAGCAGGGTGCAGGCTAGGACGTGGGCCCTCAGCAGAACAGAGCTGCCCGGTGCTGGGCCGTGACCCACCCTTCCAATCTGCAGAAGCAAGCTTCTGTGGTCCAGCCMCCGGTCTGCAGGCGCATCCAGCAGGGCGGGACAGGCCCTCGCGCACTCACACCCTCCGTGGTGAGAGGCTCCAAGGCGCAGGGCGGCTCGCTCAGGAACCCGGACGACTGTGGACGCAGCCCAGCAGAGACCTGGGTGTGTGCTGTGGTCCTCATTCTTCAGAGACGGCTTGATTAAAGGGCTCTCTGCTCCGCAGGGCGTGGCCCAAATGGGGTTCTGCCTGTTGTCTTTACTTCTGAAAGTCTACCATGACCTCCATCCAGCAGGTGCTCGGGAACATCAGCGTGATCCATTCCCTCACACCTGCCTCGGGGTTGCCAACGGCTGGGAGGATCCCCAGCAAGACAGGAGACCTGGTCTCAGGACACTCGGCGGGCACTTGGCGGGCACACGGCRGGCACAGAGGCACCCGAAGCTCAGGAACACTCCCCGTGGGGGACTCACGCCCAGAGGAGGGCTTCTGCACTCTGGAGGTGGGAGTCTGACGCAGTGTCTCCCCGGGAAGGAAGAAGTCTGGCTCCCTGGCCGGGCTCGGGCTGACCTGGAGTGCCCCCTACAGGCTCCGGTGTGAAGGCCTGGTCCCGTGCAGCAGGTTCACAGGGGCTGTGGGAGTAGTGGGTCCTGCAGCTGTGACGCCACCAGTGGTGGTCATGGGTAGTGGGAGGTGGGCAGTTCAGGAGGTTTCCTGGAAGGTGTTTCTCTTCTCTCTCAGTGAGCCGCTCTGCTGCCCCCACCCCTTCCCCAGGATGCTCAGGCGGCAGCCCACTTGCACTGATCTGAGTCTCTGCAGGCAGCTGGCTCCCCAGCCACCCGAGTCGCCTCTGTCGACTTGGGTCCCCAAGCACAGGGACGCACCCCTGGATGACTCGGGGGTCAGCAGTGGGGTCTGTGCTTGCTGTGAACCCCTGAAGGTTTGAGGTCTGCTGCAGGGTGGGTGGAACCGGGGCCTCCCGGGAGCCCTCAGCCAGCTCCATGAAAACCTAAATCTCTAGGCAAAGAGGGAGCAGGAGAGGGGCTGGTGAACATGGGGAAGAGCCGTGAACCGCGGCTCCCAGCAAAGACCCCTGGCGGGGCAGCAGCRCTCCAGCCCAGAGACAGGTGTGCTGCAGGAGGCCCACCAGCCTGGGGCGTGGGGTGGAGCGATCCCCTCCCACAGCAGGCCTCCAAGGGTGGCTGAGCTGTCGGGGTGCTGACCTGCGGCTCAAGGGCAGGGTCTACAGGGGACCGCTTCTAAGGAGACCGACCTGTGTGGCTGATACTGTGAGCAAATTTCAGACCCGATTTCCGATCCACAGCAGAGGAGAAACACAGAGTACAGAATCCTACCCCAGGAGCTCTAGATGTCTAGCAGACGGTGATTTAGTTTCATTTCTGCCATATTTCCAACCCCAGATGACTGGACGGTAYGGTGTGGGCAGCCAGTGTGGGCAGCCAGACCACACCCCTGGAAGGGCAGAAGCGGGAGGCCTGCCATGGGTGGGCCTGGTCCAGGAACAGACGTGGCTCAGCCGTGACTGTCAGGCGACACGCCCTGATTTCCTATGAATGGGCGTGGGAACCACAGGAGGGGACGCCCACAGTGACGGTGAAGGGATGAAGACCCAGGTGGCCTACGTGGGGGTGGGGCAGGGACAGCACTAGACACCCAACTACAGACTCAGAGGACCTCCCCTGTGGGAGTCCTGCTGGTGGAATCCCTTGTTCCAGGAGAAGCCTGGTCCTGAGGGCTCAGCTGACCAGGTCAGGCACACCAAGAACGGGGACCTTCATTTCAGGAGGCCGAGGCAGGAGGCTGCAAGTTCCAGGCCGGCCTGGCAGCGCAGGGAGACCCTGCCTCAAAGTAGACGTTACGGGCTGGGGGTGCAGCTCGGTGGTGGAGTGCTTGCCCAGCATGCACGAGGGCCTGGCTTCAACCCCCAGAACAGCAAAGAAGAAAACCTTCTGGACCAGAGGGACCTGGGTYCCATCCCTAGTACCAACAAYCMACACGCTGCTGCAGAGATGGGTTCCTTTTGTAACCATTCCCACARACCCCACAGTTTGAAACGCTGCAGCTCATCAGCTCAAAGTTGCTGGGCTCCCTTGGCAGGGCCTTCTTCAGGGTCTCAAGGCCAAACTGAGAGGTCTGCTGTATTTCACCAGGCTCCCTCGGGTGACAGGAGTCTTCAGGTCCTTGTGGCTGGGGGACTAAGGGTCCCTGTTCTTGCTGGTGGCCATGGGGCTTGTCTCAGCTCCCAGGGACCAATGTGTCTTCTCCAAGTGGCCTCCTTGACCTTCACAGACAGACAGAGGACCTCCCCTGTGGGAATCCTGCTGGTGGAATCCCTTGTTCCAGGAGAAGCCTGGTCCTGAGGGCTCAGCTGACCAGGTCAGGCACACCAAGAACGGGGACCTTCATTTCATCTGCCTAGGCACCTCGGGCCCTGGCTGGTGCTGGACTCTGGGGAGCTGTGTGACACGCAGTGGGGCCTCCCAGGACCCAGCCTCCCCAGGCACCAAGACCACCCTATGGGGGAGTCGAAGCTCATGTTCAAAGTCAAGCCGGCAGTCCAGGCTGGGGTGCCCACATCGTCTGGGACCTTCCTGGGTCCTGACGGGGTGGAGAAAAGGGGGCCCCACAACTTATGAGCCTCTACTGCTTGGCCCTGCACCAGGGCCCGYCCTGTGGGGGCCCCACCCTTCAACAGGCCTCCACTTCTCACTGGGAGCAGTGACCAGCCTTGTGCACCACTGATCTCCTTGGAGGCTCGGTGCTTCCCTCCGCCACGCTGCTGGCCGTCACAGGCTCCCTGGGTCCCCAAGACTGAGGCAGCACTGCCAAGCCTGGCCTTAGGGACGGGCAGGTGAGTCAAGGAAGTGGGGCTGGGGCTGGTCCTGGGGTACACAAAGACCCCCGTGGCTGAGTGGGGGTACAAGCCCTGGAAGCTCCTCACTCTCAGGCAGGACCCCAGCTGGTGGCACAAGGAGAGCTGATGTCAGGCACCATTTTTCTGAATTGGTCTGGGCAGATGGACTGTCCAGGCCAAAGGGCAGTGTCCACACTGCGGGTGCTCTTGCACCTGCAGGTCTCTGGAGCCTGGTGCAGGAACATCGTCATGAGGCTGGGCGAGTGCTGGCCTGCTGGATGGAGGTGGCCATGTCCCCTAGGCTGCTGCTTGGCCAGGGCAGAGGTCACTGCTGGCTAGCATGGAGGCTGAGGGGCAGCAGGTGGCTGAGGACAGCACACCCACCTGCAGAGCGACCATCTGTCCACTTGCTGGGCCGCRTCACCGGAAGGCCCAGGTGGCAGGAGGACTGAGTCCTGAGCACTTCCAGGGGCCAAGGGCTCTGCTTGGATCTGGTCTCATTGTCCCCTGGGGCTTCGAGCTGGGGTTCAGTCCCACTGTGAGGTGTGAAGAGGAGAAAGCTGGGCCTTTGGGAGGGTCAGGGTGGAGCCAGTGGTCAGGAAGAGGGAGAGCCCAGACACGAATGGCTGATACATACGGGCTCCAGGTCACCCTGTGAGCCCCGGGGTGCCTCGGGGCTCTGCCAGCAGGGCCATCACCAGCGGTGACCGGACCTCGCACCTCCAGAACACAGAGCCAAAAGGAGCCTCTTTTCTTCCCGGCTGCCCCGCCTCAGGCGTTGTGTGACAGGCCACGGAGAACAGACCCTACACAGCTGCCCACCTCCCATCACAGTGGACCCGGGCAGGCTGAAGGCCCCTGGCACCACGACCAGTCCAACCCGCGGAGCCAGCGCCAGGGCCCAGGAGCCCGCGGCACAGCCCTGGCTCCTGCACTCACCTGACAGGTAAGCGAAGCGCCTCTTGAGCTGCTCTTGGATGTCCGCAGCGCAGAGCGGCACGATGTCCTGGTGCATGATCTCATCTGAGGGAGAGAGACACGGTCACTGGAGGAAGCCCTGCCCGCGCCCCAGGGCCCTGCCGGCCAGCCCCTGCYGCACACCCCGGGGAGGAGAAAGGCCAGTCGCCCTCTGTTTCAAAGGTGCACAAGAGGCAGAGGCGCAGGGAGGGCCGGGCGGGGAGGAGGCCAAGGGCGTGGGCCAGGACAGCGGGGCGGGGCCTGACTCACAGGTAAACAAATCCCCTGGTCTCCGCCCACCTGCGTGCTGGCCGGGCCCAGACAGCTGGGGCCTCCTGTTGCCTGTGCGACAGCAGGCTGCTGAGCCACCACCTGCCACCCCAGGTGCTCTGGGTCCTTCCTGCTTGGCAGCCTGCTGTGTGCCTGGTCCTGGGGGGCAGGGCGGCAGCAACAGGCGGCCCCCCTCAGCAAGGACGCAGGACCCAGGGCGCTGGCCTGTCTGCTGCGATCAGGTCTGGGGATGGGTGGGCAGCATGTCCAGCCACACCAGAGCCCATCAGCCAAGAGCAAGAGGTTCCAGGGAGACGCGCGGGGGAAGGGAGGTCCTGCTGAGGCAGCAGGGCGGGCCCTGGCTGGACAGCGCCTGGGGGATCTGCATCCAGGCCAGGACTGGGGTGCCCCTTTCCACAGAAGCACCCAGACGGGGCGTTGATGCTGCTTCTCTGATGGCACGCGGGCACTTCTGGGTGAGGGGCAGAGCGCTAGCCTAGCACAAGGCCTGGCTCCACCAGCACCACAAAGCCGTCACTTCCGCCCCTGGAGGCCAGGCCAGAAACGGGGGGGGGGGGGGGGCAGATGCCACCTGGGCAGCACTGGTCCCGTCCTGCCCCCTGGCCTTGCAAACCACCGAGGTCATATGCAGGTCCACCCCCCGACTATGGCGTCCCTCCGTAACTCCAGCTGCTGGCCTGGCGTTGGGAGGAGGCCTCGCAGCCTCATGGCCTGGGGAGCACAGGGCGGCACCCGAGGAGTCRGGAGACAAGCAGCCACAGCCACCGGCGGGGCTCGGGGGAGGGCTCGGGGCGCAGAGCCTGTTCCCCGCGGGCGGCAGAGGGTGGCTCCTTCTGTGGGGAAACAGGGCTAGAAACCGTCACTGCACGGAGGCTGGTGTCTAAGATTCCTGGAGAGGTGCTCTGTGGCCGGCACACGCCTCGCCTTGGGGTGCCTGTGTGGGGCCACTGGCCAGGCCACCCGGGGCTGGGCCTGCAGATGCTCTGTGGGAATCATGCGATCCTGGACCTGGTTCTGCCCAGGGAGGATCCAGATGGAGAAACGCAGGCCCCAGGGGCCAGGTCTTCCTGCAACTGTGGGCAGCTCTGGGCACTGCTGGGAAGCAAGTTTCCCACAGCCAGGACTGCCCAGGCAGAGGGACGCCAAGGTGTGACGAGCCCTGGGGCTCCGGCTGGCCAGGTCCTGGAACATACAGCCCTAGTAGAGACCCCACCACGGTCCAACTTCTAGAGTGTGTCCAGCCCCAAGGAAGGAGACTCCGAGGGAAGCTGCCCCGTGAATCTTTCTGCAGCAACCCTGAGGCCTCACTCTGGACTRGACAGCAGCTGCCCAGACAAGCCAGCGCAGGCCCTCCTGAGAACAGCCTGGGCCTCACTGTGCCAGCTCCCAGGACCCAAGTGCCTCCGGGCAGGGGTCTTCCTGTGGACGGGGACAGGCTGACCGTGTCTGGTGCCCTTGAGGGATGGCACAGGGCTTCTTGCCCACTGAGTTCTGGCCAAGTTCCTTGGGTGGCTGCACTGAGAGGAGTCCTGGCCCTGGGTGGCCTGATGACCTCAGTCCAGCAAGGTGCCTCCTCCGCGAGCTTCTCTCCACCTCCTACCCAGCAGGCTTCAGACCCCCTGACCCCCTCACAGGGACACGCCTGGGCTCTGCCATCCCCAAAGGCCGTGCAAGCTCCCCATCACCGGCCTATCGTCAGGACATGAGGGTGACAGGGAGCCTTCGTCTTCCTTGCTCTCAAGCTCTGGGGCACGGAGGGTGGTGGGCACTGCTTTCAGCTCACTGACGGCCTCTCACCTTCCTGATCCCTGTGTCCACTCAAGAGGACAGGCAGTCTGCATTTGGTGAAGAGAGGACGTGGACTCCTTCTCAGGCTTCAGTGTGTGGGTCGGGGGCTCAGGGGCACATGGAACCACAGCGTGGACACACCAGGCACGAGCTCCCACGGTCATGTGGCCTGGGGCAGGCAGCGGGCCACCCAGCTGTCCCCTGGATCACATGGCAGCAGACACCGTCGGCAGAAAGGACCCTGCCACCGTCAGAAGGGTGGCCCAGGGTGGCCCAGGGTGGGGGGAGGCTGAGCTTAGGCCTCCTCCTGTCTCACCGGCCGTGACCTGTGCATCCAGCAGCCAGGAGCAAGGATGGCCAGCCAGGGGCAGCAGGCCTAACAGCGCTCCCTTCCCAGGCTCTCCAGCTGCCCCCTGGGAAGCTGCCCTCCTGTGGCCTCTCTAGGCCCAGGGCCCTGTCCAGGACCATCTCAATCCAGACAGGACCGCAGGGACCCCACTGCCCAGTGTGATCCACACAATGAAGTTGCTCCAAATCCGCCCTGGGGTCCTCAGAGTCCACGGAGGGGCATCGTCTCCCGTCCAGCTATCCGAGGCGCAGTGGCTGGAGCGCAGGTCCTTCCTCCTAGCGTCCCCAGGCCCTGGCCTCACCTCGACACCAGGCCTCGCTCAGGCACAGGCGGGTGGCCGTCTTGGGGGCAGATCCTGTGGAGGAGCTGCCCTGGATCTGGGTGGAGAAACTGGGCCCTGCTGTACTGGCGACCTGGGCTGGAGTCCTGGCCTCACTCAGAGGGACACAGGGGACGGACAGAGGGCAGCAGGAGAGCGAGCCGCAGCCGCACAGAACATCCAGGATCTGATAATGGCCTCCTCTCCTGTGTCTCTGGCAAGAGGCCTGTCCCAGGGCCTCTGCCTGCTGTCCATCAAGTGGAACAGGTGCATCTCTTCAAGTCCAGGCTGAGGTCAGATGGATGAGGTCACTGCCACCTGGGAACAGACCTGCTCTAGCAGGCCCCCGGTGAGGGTCCCCAAGGGTGGAGTGCACACGGCAGGGGACACAAAGAGGAAGGGAGGCGGCAAGGGGGCTCCCGGGTAAACGTGGCCAGGCCAGGCCTGAGGCTGGGGCTTCAGAGGAGCCGCACCTCCTGGACGCAGATCGGGGCGGAGGGCAGCATGCCCAGAGCGGCCAGCATTCCTGCCGCCTGCTGGGCTGTGAGGACCTCTACCCTCCCGCTGGCCACATGCTGAAGGGCTCGGCCTCGTCACTTGGTCACCTGAGGCCCACAGGACTTGGCTGGCAGAATTCTCACATTCATCCTAGGTGTTTGGGGCRAGTCATGGGATTGGGTGAGACAGTGTGCCATGTCCCATGCACAACAAATCAAGGGCTTCTCTCCAAATACGCTCTCTGCCTGACCTGGGAGCAAGCCCTTACGGAACTTCAAATAAAGGACCCAGAGGGAGAAGCAGCCCACCCACAGGGACACGTCAGAGGCACGCTTGGCAGAAATCGCGGGTCCAGAGCCACCAGGGAGGGCTGGCCCAGGGTCGCCTGCAGAGGGCGTCGTCCACACCACCCAGTGGAGCGCGGGCCGCCTCCAGCCCCTCACTCCTAGGCCGCCCAGCACAGACCAGGGCCTCCACTCTGCAGCGTGGGGACGGCTGAAGCCCAGGCCCAGGATCAGCGCAGAAACCCCCAGCCTCGCCTGGATGCCTGGGGCGTGTTCTGACCTGCCCACACCGTGCTGGTCACCACCCACCCTGACGCAGGCGCTCTCCAGGTGAGCCCGGGGACACCAATGCCCAAGGCACGGTCAACTCAGGTCTTCCTGAGGTAAGCATGGCCCCAGCACCGACACCTGACTCAGCAGGGCCTGAGACAGGGTCAGCAGGACTTGGTGGCCAYCAACCCCCCCCCTGCCCAGCTGGCAAAACAGGACCCTGACACACACCACGCCACGGTTGGGGGTCACACCACGCCAGGTGCTGGTTTCCAAGCTAGAAGCTGACCCTCAAGGACAGCATCTGGAACCTGCTGCCCAGGACGTCCACTGTGTGCTCGCTGCTCGGCAGCCACAGGAGAGACGGGGCAGACACCAGCTGCAGTCATACCTCGGTTTGTGCCACGGGATGGACCTGTCCAGCTGCTCTGTCCTCCCAGCAAAGTCTGGGGCTGGACCACCTTGCAGACTTGGCCACGGCCAGGCCTCGTCCATTCCCACCAGAAGAGGGTGGGAGCAGCTCTGCCTGCCCATGCCCGCCGGGCTGTGGCCTTCGGCGGCTCCCTGAGTGGACGCTGCACTCCTGGACTGTGGGCAGAGCCTGCCGGCTTCCCTGGACCCAGGGCCGGCAACCCCGACTCACAGCCAGTGCCCCACCGTGAAGACCAGTCTCACAGGACATTGGCGAGCACACACCAGCCTGGAGCAGTTCAGGGAAAGAGCAAAACACAGACGACTAGCCGAGTCTCCAGCGTCCTGCCCCCGCCCCRCGGCAGCTGGCGCCACGAAAGGCGCAGGATTCCCAGACTTCGCCGCCTAAAGCGACTTTCTAATTGGCTCACGTAGGAGATCTTTGATTGCAGTAGAAACAGCAGCCACAGCAGGAGGACCCCCAAGAACCTTCCACGTTAATGAGTCTAACTGTCACAGCCACCAGGAGGGAACATGGCTTCCCACTTCTCAGATGAGCAAACCAAGGCACAGAGAGGTTGGCAGACTTGCTGGTTGTCACGCAGCAGTGGCTAGGGTGATTCTGTGGGTCAGGGAAGGAGGGAGGGGCACAGGAACGGCCCACCTGGAGGCTCCAGGTGGCCTGGCTGGCGGTGGGCTTGCGAAGTAGAGAGGGGAAGGAGGCGTTTCTGACCTGGCTTGGGGAGAGTCGTAGATAAGGCTCAAAGCAACTGAGGAGCAGGGACGCTGGGCACCCGGGCCTCCCCCAGCTTCCCCGGCACGGGCCACAGCACGGGCTGGCTGCCCAGGGCCTCCC